AATCTTTTCTTCCTTTTCTTAAAAGAATACTTACCGAAAGCTATAGCCATGCACATAACTGTTCACATGTCAGTAAATTTTCTCCAGCCTTTCATACAGTTAGTAAAACTGAGTTAGGTAACAGGATCTATTCATCTTTCTCAAAATTACTCTATTTCTTTTTTTTTTTTTTTTTTTTTTTTTTTGCCATCGGGGATTGAACTCACAACCTTGTGCTTACCAGGGAAGCACTTGAGCCACTGAGCTCAATTCCTAGCCCATTCTATTTCCTTTTTCCTTCCTATCTATTGGTAGAACTCTGGCAATAACTAGGACAAATACTCCTGGATCCAAATATGAATCCAAAAAAGAAACCAAGTATTAAAGGATTGCAATACAGGACAGAGAGTGCATCTAAGTAGTAGAACACTTGCTTAGCATCTGTGGGGCCCTGGGATCAATCTCAAGCACCTAAAAGTGAAAGGAAAAGATGACAAGGCAAAATTGTGTCCCAGAATTCCTCATTCATAATACGACAGGTAGTAGATAAATATACCCTGGGAGAAATCATAAAGTAAACTGAAAAGAGCCTTTAACAGACATTAACATATCAGTTTTTATAATGGTAGTCGGCAAATAAAGTGATGCTTATTATTAAAAAAACATGAACCAGTTTTTTCAATACATCAGGTGTGGCAACAAATTACTTTTGGAGGGAAAAAAAAAGGACTTAAAATATGCATAAAACACAGAGATGTCTTCCTACATCCCACTGTTCTACTTAAATAGTTAACAACTTCTTGTATACTTGGAATTGTGAGAAAGGACCACAATGAATGGAGCCTTATCAAAGACTAACTGCAAGAAACCCTCCTGAGGATTTCGACTCAGTAATGCATAAAATCACTGAGCACTCAACACAAGAAAGGCTTCCTAATTATCCCTTTCAATTTTCATATTTTGAACAATCATCATTAACCACCGTTAAACACCACTATGACATGACACTTCCAAATAAATGAATAAACTAAAATTGTACTGACCTCTTTGATGGGAAAAATAAAGTCATTTGGTGTTACAAGTTTACTATTACAACAGGGACTTTTCCATTGACAAAATTAAAACTATAAAGTTAAAATGAGCACAACCCATTAAATGATACTGTTTCCGGGATAAGGATATAGCTCAGTCCTTGAGTGCCAATGTAGCAAGCACAAGGCCCTGGGTTCTACCAGAAGTATTAAAATCAATCAATCAACCAGACTCTTTGTAAGCCAAGATTCTGCTCCATGGTCACATAAAAATGGAGCATCCTAACAGTTAACAATACAACAATTTTTTTTTTCAAGGCAGGGTATTGCTATGTAATTTAGATTTAACTTGAATTTGGCAATCCTCCTGCCTCAGCCACCCAAGTGTTGGAATTACATGTGTGCACCACCACACCCAGTCAATAATTTATTTATTATCACCCTAGAACTATAAGCAGTTAATATCTCAAACATGATCTTTATGAACCAGTTAATTTACACCACTGTTTCACATAATAAGCTATACAGTATTAGATAATTCAGAATCCAACTTTGTCTTCCTGCATGAACAAATTAGACCAAACCAAAAAAAAAAAAAAAAAAAAAAAAAAAAACCAACCCTACTTAAAAAGGGTCCAAATCTTTTTATTGACAAAATAAGAAAGTAGAAGAAATATTTTTCCCTGTCGCAGAAATGATGTAAGTTTTATTAAGGCAATCCTCTCTATTCCCTTGTAATATAAAACTATTCCAAACAGGCTACATTCTCTGTTGTTTAGCTTCAAATACCAAGTGATAAAGTTTATACCAATCTCCCTTGAAAGCACACTGTATTTTGAACAGAATAGAGTACTACCTTTTAAAGATTACTACGGTCTAAGATTACTACTATGTCATTTAAGATTGACACGAGTAATTCTGTCTATAACTGTGAACAAAAATGTCAAGTAAGCTGGGCATGGTGGCACAAGCCTGTAATTGCCAGCCCTTGAGAGACTGAGGAAGGAGGATCGCTGCAAGTTTGAGGACAGACTGGATTACACAGTGAATTCAAGGCCAGTCTGACCTTGACCTACATCACAAGACCCTGTCTCAAAAAACAAACAAAAAAATCAAACATAAAAAGTATATATGAAAAACAATATGTTTCACCAAGTTTGAGACTAGCTTAAGCTACAAAGTGAGCTCAAGGCCAGCCTGAATTGTACAGTGAGATCCTGTCTCAAAAAAACAAAAACAAAAAAAATATATTAAACCTTCTATAGTCCACCCTTACTTTCAATGTTTAAATTCCTTAACTACTTACATCTCTACAAAAACTCTACACCAGTAAACATTCAAAAGTGTAAACAGGTTACAAAGTGTGGTGGTGCAAACCTGTGATATCAAAACTCTGGGATGCTGAAGCAGGAGGACTAGAAATTTAAGCTCAGCCCAGCCTGCACCAGTAGTGAGATCCTGTCTCAAAATATTTTTTAAAAAGGTCTTAGGATGCAGCTCACTATGAAGATACAAGGTTCAATTCCCAATACTATTAAAAAAAAAAAGTAATAAGAAGCCAGGCCTCTGAAGCAGAAACTTAATAGCTGAATTCTCTACTTTTTAAATGAAAAATCAAATCAGTCAAACTCCTCTTTTTCAAAAAAAAAGAAAGAAAGAAAGAGAAGACAAAATGGAATTGTTACACATTACAACTGTGGAACTTAAAGGACTTTTACAAAATGAACATATCCACATAATGACTACACTGATACAAGAATATTCCCAATATCCCAGAAGTATCTTTCATGTACCCTGTAACCATTACACCTCCTCAAAAGCAACCCCTAGTCTGACCTTCACTGTCACAGACCAGTACTGTCCATCCCCAACCTAAACAGAACAGAAATATTTTCAGGGTTTTTTTTTTGTTTGTTTGTTTGTTTGTTTTTGGCACCAGGGATTGAACTCATGACCTGGCACTTGCCAGGCAGACACTTATGCCACTGAGCTAAATCCCTGGCTTTCCCCAACCTTCACCTAAACAAAATCCTGTAAGGATAGTTCAATACCATGTCTTTTCCATTAACACATGAATTGAACACAGTAGTATTCAACTTTCTCTTTCCCCTTTTAGACCACACCGTTTAGTTTTGGGGGGCGTTGTTCTATTTTTTGGTGATATGGGTAGTTATGGTACTGGGAATGAAATCCAAGAGCACTCTACCACTGAGTTACTTCCTCAGCCCTTTTTATTTTTTATTTTGAGCCACAGTCTTCCCTAAATTGCCTACACTGGTCTTGCGCTTGCAATTTTTTAGTCTTCCAAGTAGCTGGGATTACAGGCATGCACCACTGCACTGAGCTAATTTATGAACATTCAACTTTTTTTCAATGCTAAAGATAGAATTCCAGGTCTAGCACATACTAGTGAAGTACTCTACCACTGAACTACATATCTTCCAGCACCATTTTTTCTTTTTCTTCCCTTTTGTACTAGAGATTGAAAACAGGGCCCAACACTAAACTACTTCTCTAGTCTTTTGAGACAGGGTTTCACCAAGTTGCCCAGGACCAAACTGACAAAATCCTGAACAGCCAGGACTGCAACACACTCCTGATTAGCTTGGACCACAAGTATGCACTACAACTCCTGGCTTCATTCAATCTTCAATGGACATTTAGGTTGTTTTTAGTTTGTGCTATCATGAGCAATGAGTTCACAAGAAGTTCTGTACATGTCTTCTTGCATACATCTGTACCTATTTCTATTGAATGTACATATATCTAGGAGTTAATACAACTCCTAGGTGTTTAGAATATGCATATATTTAGAATATGGTTCTGTTCAGCTTTAGTAGAAACTTTTCTAAAATGATTGTCACTTTGCCTTCCCAGGAGCTAGGAATATAGCAAAGCCCCCAACACATACAAAGTCTGGCATTTTTTCCCCACATCCTCACAAGCCTGCTGTTCATTTTTTAGTCATTCTGGCAAAAGTAAAACAGTATTTTGTTCTAAACCTAACAAAATATATACCAATCTTGAGTTATTAATATAACTCAAATCTAGATATTTCTATTTCAAAATCTCATAAGAAAAAAAAAAAAAAAAAAAAAAAGAAGAGAAAATCTCTCCAAATAGAGTCTTTGCCTGTTCTATAACCTCTCTGGTGACACTAAAATACTATCTTATGTAGCACTTACTTGAGAATACCTTATTTTTCCTCTAACTAACATGCCTATTCAGTGGTACCAAACCTACGCATGTATGCTGCAGTAAGCAGGCAGAACCCTCTCTGTGGGCAGGTAAGCCATGTTGTCCCAACAGCCAAGTATTGGATAACAGTCGTTTTTTCCTAAACTAAAACATCAGTATTCCAGTTTAATTGCAGTGTTGGCACTTCATAAGTAAGTGGATTTTGGGTTACAGTTTGGGCACTCAATCTCTAAAAGGTTCACCATCACTGGCCTAAGCCATGCACTGCACACAAAAAAATAGCTGAATTCGTTTTCATAAACACAAGTAATTGGTGTGGCAGAGTCATTTAGAGCATGTGACATACATGCTTCTCATAGAGGGCAACTAAGTCCTAGAGAAAATGTAATGAACATTTTTTAGTATTTTGCTGACCTATCAAAAATTTAAGAAAAATGGCTGGGCCTGTGGTGCATACTTGTAAACTCGGCACTCAAGATGCTGAGGAAAGAGGATTACAAACTCAAGGCTAGTGTGGGTTACAGTGAGAAATCATCCAGAGAGAGAGACAGAGACAGAGACAGAAGGGGGGACTGCTACTTCATCCTTCCACACAAACACAATCACACACACACACATAGTCCCAAAAGAGTAAGCAGAAAAGGGAGATTAATCTAAGGATAAGCAATTTGGAAATATCAGAGCTGCCCCCAGAGTAAATGATATAACCATTTGGGAAGAGATCAAACTTTTGGCCAGGGAAAATAAGAAACTCAGACCTGATATTCCCGCATTGAGCTGGGGAGGGCTTACCAGGAAGCTTGCAGGCAGGGGCAAGGAGATCAGCACCCACAGAATAAATCTGGTATCACCGTCTTATTCGTACTTAGATCTAGAATTCAAAATCTCATTGTCCATGTGGTCAAGAAACCCTGAAAAACAAAAGAAACAGGCAATGAAGGAAATAACTGCCAATTTATGGTCTCAGGATCTCTAAATCTAAAGTTTAAGCAAGTAGAACCTTACATGAGAAGTACTTCAAAAGAGCAGGAGGAGCCAGGCATTGTGGTCTATGCCTATAATCCCAGTTCTTGGGAAGCTAAGACGGGATGATCACTGGAAGTCTGAAACCAGCCCAGGTTACTCTGCTGTCCCACTGCCGCCACAATGAGAGACTTCTTTTGCTTTATGAAACAAAGTAAAAATTACATTTTAAAAACTGCATTTACAGGGGCCAGAGATATAGCTCTGCAGCACAGCACTTGTCTGGCAAGTGCAAGGTGGTGAGTTTGACCCATGGTATCAAAAACAAGAATAAAAATAAATAAATGAAAACTGCCTTTACACTGGGCACAGTGGCACACACCTATAACCTTGGCTATGCAGAAGGCTGAGACAGGAGGATCACAAATTGAAGTCAACTCATACAACTTAACAAAATCCTATTTCAAAATAGTTTGTGTGTGTGTTTTGTTTTGTTGTTGCTTTTGTTTTGTACTTTTGAAACAGGGTTTCACTATGCAGTTCAGGCTGATCTTGAATTCTCACTCTGTAACCCAGGCTGGCCTCAAATTCACAGTGATCTTCCTGCCTCAGCCTCCCAGACTAGTGGGATTATAGGCATCCCACACCATGCCTGGCTCAAAATAGAATTTTTAGCAAGGTCTGAGGGTAGAGAGTAGCTCAGTAATGCAGCACTTGCCTAGCATGCTCAAACACCCTACGTTCAATTTCCAGTCACTGCCAAAAATAAAACAAAACAAGAAGAAGTTGAACATACATATCCCTAAGGAGGAGCTGGGCGCAGTGGCACATGCCTGTAATTCCAGCACTTGAGAGACTGAGGCAGGAGGATTGTTGTGAGTATGAGACCAGCATGGGCTATAAAGTGAGCTCAAGGCCAGCCTGAACTGCACTGCAAGATCCTGTCTTGAAGGAAAAAAAAAAAAAAATAACAATGGTAGTACATGCCTATACGTCCAGCTACTCAGGTGGTTGAAGCATAAAGACCACAAATTTGAGACCACAAATAGCTTAGAGAAATCAGTGAAACCTTATATAAAAACAAAATTTAAAAAGAGTTGGGGATACTGTAGCTCAGTACTGCAACACTTGCCAAGCACATGTAAGGCCCCCAGTTCAATTTCCAGCACCACAATCAATCACTAAGTAACCAACCAACCACAACAGTAATTTACATATAGTTATCCTAAATAGCTCTTTGGTGTGGCTAGTATTTTGGCTATAGGATTTAGAGATTTTGCAAGTGCAGGACACCTAGCTCTTGTCACAGATGGTGAAACTATCACTACTTTGATAAACCCGGTAAAGTATGGAAGTAGTAAACTTACTAAGGAAATCATAATTGGAGAAGAGAAATTCATTCATGTTTCTGAAATTGTTCCTGATAAGGACTTTACTACTGTTTTATATGCTGCCACCAAACAAATTTAAATGAAACAAAAATTATTGCATGAGGCTCTTGATGCATTCTTGCCCAAACTGTGAAGAACACTAGAATAGTTTATGGAGAAGGCTGTTCTGCCATGATTGCTCACGCTGTGACACAGAATGCACAGAAGCTATTGAAATGAGGTCTTAAAGCACTGACAGTGTTGCCAACCATCCAAACTAAAAATGTGGGATACTACAGTACAGATCTGGTGGCTCATTTGCAAACTTCTCCAGCTTCTACTGCCTTCCAGTAAAGGCAATATAACTGCTGGGCTGGATATAAAGGAACATACCACTGGAAATAAGGCATACTTGTTTAAAGTTACCACATGAAGTAGCTAAATCTATAGGTTATGGATGATTCTACATGTAGACCGCACCAAAACACCACCAAGAAAGCCAGGTGTGATGCTACACTTCTATAATTCTGGCACTTAACTCAAGAGGCAAGTAGGCGGACTAACACCTGTCTGAAAAAAAAAAAACCTTAAAAAAGAGCACCAAGAAAACATTTCTTTCCCCATTCCTTTCGTTTGTTGTTGATGTTTTATTTTGTTTTTCTGGGGTTTTTTTCCCCCAGCAAAGTTGTGCTTGGATTCAGGCTGGCCTTGAAACTCACTGTGTAGCCCAGGCTAGGCTCAAACTTGCAGTAATCCTCCACCCTCAGCCTCCAGTGCTGGGATTACAGGCATACGACACCACACCCAGTCCTCTCACCACTCCTAATTTATATTTTCAGATGCTATTGATCTCCAGACCAGTTTACAATAAAGTTGTTTTTGAAATTCTTCAACCTCTTAAAGAAGATGGTAGTTTGGACGTGGTGGCACACACCTATATAATCCCAGCACCAAGAGGCTGAGGCAGGAGGATCACTGCAAGTTTGAACCCAGTCTAAACTACATAGTGAGCCCAAGGCCAGTCTAAACTATTTAGCAAGACCCTGTCTAAATCAATCAATTAATCAAGGCTAGGGATAAACTCCAGTGCCAAAGTCCAGAATTCAATCTCTAGTAACTGCCACACACACGGGATAGAGGGAGGCAGAAAGAAAGAGAGCGAGCAAGCAAGCCCAAAATGCAAGTGTGTGCTAGGAGAAGCCAGTCATGGTGGTACAGCCCTGTAATCCCAGTACTCAGAGACAGACAATCTCAAGTGTGAAGACAGCCTTAGTGATGAGGCAAGATCCTATATTTAAAAACTAAAACAATAATAATCAAATTACAAAATTTAAAAAGTAATAATGTGAGAAGCAAACATTCTATTAAAGGTTGGGGACATAGCTCAGTAACACAGCATCTGCCTGGCAAGCGCAAGGTCATGAGTTCAATTTCTAGTATCAAAAAAATAGTTCTATTAAGCAATTTAACATTCTTGTATATTAAAAAATTTTTAATTGTAAATCTTCTATCACATAGTGCATTTTTTAAACCACTGTTATGGATTAAAAACTGGTGGTCAAGGGCCAGGAATTTATCTCAGTGGCATAAGCATCTGCCTGGCAAGTGCCAGGTTGTAAGTTTGATCCCTGGTTTAAAAAAAAAAAAATTGGTGGTCACTAACACCAGCTGAATTAAATCAGCATAGTGCTGAGTGTAGATGGCCACCTGAAGAAGGCTGCCAGTATAAAAGAAGACATGGAGAGGAAGAACATGGTGTGGTAGGTTCTCCTAAGTGTTGTTTGGTGCCACCGGTTCTCTTGGAGGAACTTGTCATGGCTAGCTTCCTTAGTATGAATTCAGCCATTATCATCAGAAGAGCTACAGATCTTGCCCTATGGTTCACTTTGGGGAAGCCCTGGTCCTTACATTGAACATTGCTTCCTGGCTCCAGAGGAGAAGATGTGTGCTGTTTAATCTCCAGGAGAAGCTCATTCACGCTGGCTTCCTGACATATACTTGACTGTACTGATCATCAGAGGAGCTTGGGACCTCAATGTCACTGAGGATGGCTGTGGTACTTTTCAGGGGAGCTCTGGTCGTTATTTGAGCGTTGCTTCTTGGCTCCAGTATAAATCCCTCAACCTACTGGCACAGATCCTTCACCCCACTGGCACACACTCTCTAGCTTCCACCACTGACCTCTGGACCTTCCTGGCACAGATCTGTAAAACAGACTTGTATGAGTCATTGTCATGGGCTCTAGACCTCCAGTTGGCCTCATGAGAGGCACTGTCATGGGCTCTGTCTTCAGCTGGACTCATGCTGAACATTACTGTGGGACCTAAGCTCTCAACCAGATTTTCTAGGTCTTTAGTGTTGTGGACAGATTTTCCTGCACTTTCTTGATTTTAACTCTGGATGACAATCATAAAATAATATTATAAACTCTGTGTCCTGTATGTAATTGTTCTCCTTGCTATCCCTGACTACAAAAACCACATTTAAAATGGAGGGGAGTTTTAGGGAGGTAACTCAGTGGCACAAAAGCCCTGAATTCAATCCCCACCAGGAAAAAAAAAAAGTACTGTGCATTTCATTTCCATAATGAAAATCTGAAGAGTTCCATGCACCTACTCCTTACCAAAACTGGTGAAACTTATGAAGAAACAAACATACAAAGTCTTTGGAAAAGCCCTAGAGACACACAGTAAATAAGAGACACACATAGTCTCAAAACTACTAAAATTTAGTAAGGACAGTGATAGTTTGTATTATTTAACCAAACCTCCAGCTCAGCAAGATGGACACTCCATTCAAGAATAATACTTTACACAGCCCAAATAGCTCAGCTGGGAGAGTATTATTAGCCTGAAGAACAGTACTCAGCTGAGTGTGGTGGTACATACCTATAATCTGAGCACTCAAGGGTATCTTGAGTGTTCAAAGCCAATCTATATTGTCTCAAAACAATCCAAAAAACAATAGAACTATACAATCATAGCAGTCTACTTATCCCCTAATAAGCTACCTTTCCAGCAAAAATAGAACATCAGCTTTTCACATCCAGCCTGCAGCCACCTGTTGCTAAACAAAGCTCTAGCAAGCATTGCCAAAAACTGTAGTCTTCCCTCTTAGGCTCAGGCCTGACTTGCAGGACAGAGGCATTACAGTACTTTGGACAAAACACCTCTGAAAAACAATGTGACTATAATTACCCTTTCTGAACACAGTATCCCAAGTTTATTGAAAAAACTAATCTACACATCAAGTTAGCTTAGTAAACTAGGATAAATGCTAAGACAGCCACATACAGATAAATCCCAACAATAATTCGAAAAGAGATACCTCTAATTCCAGCTACTCAGAAGGCTGAAGCAGACAGACCTTGAGTTCAACCCTAGCTTTGGCAATTTTGTGAGATCCTTTCAGAAAATAAAAAATAAAAAGGGCTGGGGATGTAGCTCAGTGCCAAGTGCCTGAGTACAAAAAAAAAAAAAAAAAGCCTGAGCATAGTGGAGCACATTTGTAATCCCAGCACTCCAGAGGCTGAGGCAAGGGGGTCACCACAAGCCTAGGCTACATATTTAGAACTTGCC